TGTAATACTCGAGTGTTTATGTTGAGAATTCGGATTCGTTACAATGAACTTGTCCCATGACTTCCATTCATTAATTACATTTTGAATATGGTTCAAAACTCCAAATTAAGAGACAGCTCTCTTCTTTTTTCCCTATTAAGATCCCCATTTATTTTTCTACAAATTGAAAATTGACATTACTTTGTTTTGTGATTGTATAATGTCCAAATTAATTTGTGCTCACCTCGATTAATTTTACAGGATACATATTAAATTCTCTCCTGCATAGGCATCAAGAACATTGTCCAACAACACCATAAGAAATAAGAAATTAGCGACAAACAAAATTTCATAGCTAAACAATCAAAATTCCATACTAATCTCATTTAACTACGAATTAGAACGATTATAAGAAAATCCAATTAGCTACTGACTAACAATAAATTTCATAGTTAATTGCATGTTTTACTAGTAATACAAGTATTGGACATATGAAAAGAGATCACTTAACGTTTTTGGTTCTGCTAGAATTTGAACGTGAAACATCATGATTCTCAACTAGTTTATTAACCAATACGTCACGTCCTTGAATACTTGAAAATTGAGAGTAGTATTATATTATAGACCAAAACTACCTTTTATTATTTATAAAATTGGTCTTGTAAATAATAAGTCGCTTTGGCCGAGTGGTTAAGGCGTGTGCCTGCTAAGTACATGGGGTTTCCCCGCGAGAGTTCGAATCTCTCAGGCGACGACTCTTTTTTTTCAAAGACGCGGTGACTCGGTTCGGTTTTTTCAGCTTCTAGGCAATTGTTTATCTATTGACACGTGTTATCTATAATAATTCTATTTATGCTTTCTTTTCTATAATAATTCTATTTATGCTTTCTTTTCTTCATTTATTCGGTCAATCCATTTTTATTTGTTCATATTTGACTTGACACGCATACTTAATGAGAGGATTAAATTGTTATAACACCTTTTGGATGTAAAAGTTATTTATTTGAGAGGGATGGCCCAGTGGTTTGGGCTTGAAACTTCCATGTTGGAGGTCTTAAGTTCGAAACCCTTTGCCCTTGAAAGCAAAGGGTTTTGCCTTCTGGGTTGAGTTCGTTGCACCGGGCTTGCCTAGTGCAGGTTACCTCTCCTATGTGGTTTGCAAGCTATTGCAAAGGAGCGGGGGGTTTACCCTGTGCGCACCCAAAGGATAGTGACCTCAAGTTTCCCTTGTCATAAAAAAATAATATTGAGAACACTCCTAAACTCGTTGCGAATTATTACAGCCACGAATTTCCCTTGTCATAAAAAAAAAGTATTGAGAACACTTTAAACTCATCGCGAATTATTACTGCTCTAAGTTCTCGCCAAGTTTAGGGGTGTTTCAACACTTCTCTAGTCTTTTTTTAAAGAATCACATGCTCCTACAAGAATTTGAGACCACTTGTTATGTCATGTAGCAGATCGGGAGACTATCAAAATTTAATTTGTCAAATAAACAAATATTTCTAAAATTATCAATAATTCAAAATTGAAATTAATAATTTACATTTAATTCAAATATATTTTCAATACTTCCCTATGTTTATTTTTTGGTATAATAGTAAAGGTCACAAAAATGGAGACCAAGTCAATCGTTACTATTTGGCCCCTAATAAATGACCCAACAAATTTATAAAGTGACGTTTAACAGAACAATTCTTAAGTCTTAACTAGGCTTCCTAATTGTCAAACTTGCCCTTATACATTTTCAAGTGGCACTTTTTGACTCCAATTTTTTTTTCTTGTTTCCATAGTCAATAATACATTTATATCGATAATTGGCATTTTCATCATGTTCAGCCTATTATTTTAATTGTAATAATGAGATCATGTCCACTAATTAAATATCATTAAAGTTTTGACTGTTATATTTGGGTAATAAAAAAATGTGAATCATAGTAATTAAATTGTTCTTTTCTCTCAATGTTATTTTTATTTTTAGGTGAGTTTGAAAATATAAGTAAAAGAATATTCATAAAAGTTAAGTCATTTCTAAAGCTATTAAGTTCACATTCAATGATATCTCTCAAAATGGAGTATTAATTGGACCACTTAAATTGACTTTGATTAACTAAGTGATCTCTGCTGTGGATTACTAGAGTATAATCTAATTTAACTATTTTGATGAGGAAGATTAAGATCTACTAGTTCATATTTTATAAGTGCATTGATTACTTTAAGAATTCATTAAATCCTTCGGAAAAAACTAATCAGTAGGGCAATTCGGTACACAAAGTATCCTGTTTTTGTGTAGGGTTCACCGAAGCGCCGCACCTCAAGGGATGTGATTAATGCCGAAGTCAGAATTTCGCTTAAGGAGTGTTAAAATATAAAGGAGTAAAATTTTGTAGAAGCCAAGGAATGTAAATATATATATATACATAAAAAAACTATTTTTATCTAGCTACATAGTGTAATTTTTTGACGAAAGGTTGTCCATCGACACCCCTCAACTCTCAAGTGTATGTGGCTCTACCACTGATCAGTATGATGTAGACAATCTAGCATTAGTGACTTCTTTCACGGTTCAAACTCATGATATAAGTTACATAAAGACAATTTTACCCTTATAGCTTTGAAGTTAGGATTGTTTTTCTAGTAACAATTAGTAGTATGTGATAAGGACATAATTGTTATTAGTCAATTTTGATTGTAGAAATTAAGCAAAGTCTTCCAAAATTTAGATGAAGTCGTATTGCAGTCAAGTTAAGTCGATTTTTTCCCTGTATGTGTCCTGAGCTTCGTTTCATAATTAAATTGGAATCAAGTTGATATAAATGTATGTGCCAATTGATAGTGCAAGTTGTGGTAATTTAATTAGGTGATAACTAAGCAGTAGGCACCTACCTAGTTACTGCCAGGAATTTTCAGCAACTAATTTGATAATAAATCCATATGTGAACAATAGATATATTTTCAATAGAATTAGTTATTGCATGAGATGCCATGGTTTGGACACGTGAAAAGAGATTTGTTAATGTGCTAGTAAGAAGGTGTAATATATTAATTATAATAAGTATATTGGGAGAGGTTGGATCGAGATAGACCAAAAATGATAGGGAGGACGTAATTAAACAAGACGCGATATGACTTTAACTTGGCGAGAATATGACACTAAATAGAAAGATTTGGAAGTTGAGGTTTATGGTAGAAGGATATTTAGTAGCCGATTGTACTTTATATGGGAGAGATAGGGAGCTATATAATAGTCGCATAGTCTCTTATTTTTCAATGTTTATTACTACCTATTATCTTGTTATTTTTTTGTCATATTATTCTTACAATCCCGCTTCAGATTTTTTTAATATTTTGAGTCTAAAGTCTTCAAAAACAACTTCTCTTTATACCCACAAAAATATATATAAGATCGATATACATTCTATCATTTTCGAACCATACTTGCATAATTACATTGATGTTGTTATTATTGTTATAGAAAATATTTACTCACAAATAATGCACTACACCAAAAATAATCTTTAGCGGTAATTGATTAGCGACAATAACTTAATTGCCGCTAAATATGCATTTTTTGCAGCAATTAACACTTTTTGTAAATGTCTCTAAAGCCTATAGCGACATTGGATCCAATGACATTTAACTAATGCCGGTAAATATTTTAACACTCTTTGTTAATGTGCATATTTATTGGAGCTAAAAGTTATTTTTTGTTGTAGCGATGTTAAACATTAAACCAAATAATTAGTTTTCAAAGTTACAAATTACTGTGACAACAAATACTACCACAAATTACTGTGACAACAAATACTACCCAATAATAGTCGCTATTAGTAATAAAATAGGAATTAGCAACCGATAAATTTCATATCTAAACAATAAATCATCATTAATTTTATTTAACAATAAATAAATAATGTATGTATAATTATATACAATCAATATATATTGCATATGAAAAAAATACAGCAATAAATTCAGCTATTGGTATTAAAAAATCCTAATTAATAAATTGCAGACATGTGCAATTTTCTTAAATAATAATTTTATGATTATTTTTTCACCTTGTTGTTCTTTATTTTTACAAATACGTTTTTTTATTTCGTAAAAATCTTCAAGTGAGTCAGACGCCAGAGATTGTCAGCATCTTTAATTTGTTGGATTCCCTTGCTTTTCTTATAGGACATTTTTTAAATGTTCTCCTCTTTTTATTTTAATAAAAAGAAGAATAAATGAAGCTTCTTAAAACGTCAAAACATGTAACATGTAAATAAGGAGACAAAAAAATGAGTCATTTTCTTTGAAGGGTAACCGACATGATTTTCGATATCTTTATTTATAGAATTACATAGAAAAAAATAAAATCGAAAGATGTCATGAACAACACTATGAAAAAGTTTAATAAAATAATATGTAATATTAATTGAGAATAAAAAATAAACAAACAAATAAAATGTTCTTTACATTTTCAATTTATTTGTGCTATATTTCGTTGTTTTTTCGTTTTAAACAAGTAGTATGTCTTTTTCCTTTTTCTTAGCGACTCTTAAATTTTAGACTTTGATATGTTAAGAGGTCATTAATTCCAAATTCCAATAATTTGATGAGTTGGGGACCCACAACCACATAAATATTGGTTGAAACAAAACAAAATTATCAAATTTAACCTTAGCTGTAAATCTCAACTCCACATGCTATACTACATTATTATTTTAGAAACAGAAATCACGCCTACTTAGAAAGTGTAATTTCCATTTCCTTTCTTTTGATTTTTCAATTATCGTAGTGTCCGAATCAGTTTTTTTTTATATCTACACTAGTTTCATAAAATATCTATTAATTATTATCAATAATAGCTATCGAATAACTCTGTCTATCAAAGGTAGAACAGCTAAAAAGAATCACTCTCTACTGAAATTTCAATACGAGACCTCACGAGTCAGGACTTTCAACCACTTCATTTAGCTCGATGCTATTTCCTTTTTCTCTCTCTATTACTTTTCCCTATAAATTCCCTTTTTCCCCTTCTTTCTCTCACCCAACCAAATTCATTTCTCTCTAGCATATGTCTCAGAGATCCAATATCCCACACTTTGCATCTATAGCATTTTCCATTCACTCTCATCTCCTGGTTTCTAGTGAATTATCCTCTAATTTCAATTGGTCATAATATTTCCTTATAACTCATTTTTTTTTAAAAAAAAATCAAGATCTTGATCCCCTTTACATATTTTTTTTCATTTTTCATCAATTTTTTTTTTGTTTGGAGTAGATCTTGATTAATATGGGTGTTAAAGGTTTTGTTGAAGGAGGCATTGCTTCTATTATTGCTGGATGTAGTACACATCCACTTGATCTCATCAAGGTACGTATGCAGCTTCAGGGCGAAGCATCTGCATCTACTCAGATGCAGACGCTTCGCCCTGCTCTTGCTTTTCATCCTCCCAATAATACAACTAATGCCCATGTCCCAGTTGCTCCTCGTGTGGGGCCCGTTGCCGTCGGTGTACGGATCGTCCAGCAAGAAGGCGTCGCCGCCCTTTTTTCCGGCATATCCGCCACCGTCCTCCGGCAGACCCTTTATTCGACGACCCGAATGGGATTATACGATATGTTGAAGAAAAAATGGACCGACCCGAATACGAAAAACATGCCTTTGGGGAAAAAAATTGTCGCCGGACTGATCGCCGGCGGAATTGGGGCCGCCGTCGGCAACCCTGCTGACGTGGCAATGGTACGGATGCAAGCCGACGGTCGGTTACCCGCCGCGCAGCGGCGGAATTACAAGAGCGTGGTGGATGCAATAACCCAAATGAGCAAAAACGAGGGCGTTACTAGCCTGTGGCGCGGCTCATCCCTTACTGTGAACCGCGCCATGCTGGTGACGGCCTCGCAGCTTGCGTCTTACGATGAGTTTAAGGAAATGATTTTAGCGAAAGGTTTGATGAAAGATGGACTCGGGACCCACGTGACGGCGAGTTTTGCCGCAGGTTTTGTGGCGGCGGTGGTGACGAATCCGGTGGATGTGATCAAGACTCGGGTTATGAACATGAAGGTGGAGCCTGGAGCGGCTCCACCTTACAATGGTGCACTTGATTGTGCAATGAAGACAATTAAAGCTGAGGGGCCAATGGCCTTGTATAAAGGATTTATTCCTACAATTTCAAGGCAAGGACCATTTACTATTGTGCTCTTTGTTACATTGGAACAAGTCCGAAAATTACTTAAGGACTTTTAATTAATTAATTGATGATGATGACGAAAAAGTTGATTTAGTTGTTGTTTAATTAATTAAACAGAAATATTAGTTAATTCCATGAAATTTGGAATGAGGTAGCACAATGTTAGATGTTGTGTTCTCATTTGTTAGTGTTTTATTAATGATATATATATATACACTACTTCAATATATTTTTGTTATCACATTTCCTTATTTACACGTCATTTAGATGAATAATTTTAATAATGTTGACAATTAATATAGAGCTAAGGAATAGATGCAAATTTAGTCAAAAGTATATTTTAATAAAACTTGTTGACTATTAATAGAGTTAATAAAAAAACAGAAAATTGAAAGTTTCTCTAAGGCAAAGTTAAGGCAAAAACTTTTTGTATTGAATCTTAATATAATAAGAGAATAGAATTTTGACTATGATTTTCTCAAGTTGATCAGTTTGCATCGAACTCTATAAACACACTTAATAATTGAGAGGGGGTTTTGAGGGGTCCCAAAAGGCAACATAATTACATGTTTATTGTAATGTTTTTGTCATGCATTTGCATTTGGTATTTGGATATTTGGTAGTTGTGCTTTGAATTATAAGGTGGAGCCCAAGAACCATTGATGGAAAATAAAGTTTTTCTAGAGCTGAATTACGCGTGTACTGTTATCTTTGCAATAATATTTGATATCAAAATCACCAAATTAGTAAATGTAGTCCTTTATATTTTTCTAGGGATCACCAGATACTATAACTACCTTAAATAAGGGAAAATTATATATAATAACAAACTATTAATTCAAATTAAATGCTATAATAACCATAGTTTGATTTAATTGTACCCCATAGCAAACTGTTGTTATTTCGCTTCTCTCCTGGTGAATCTCGCTCACCACTCTCGTTCTCGCTGGGCAGTCTCCATCGCCTCTCTCACTTTTATACAAACACAAATGTATAAAATGCGTTTATGTTTGTATAAAGCGAGAAAAAATTGTATATATACATATATTTTCGTTCCCCTCCCTCCCCTCTCCCAGATCTCACTCGCCACTCTCACTTTATACAAACACAAATGTATACATTGCGTTTGTGTTTGTATAAAGTGAGAGAAAATTGTATATACAAATACAAATGCATATATTTTCGTCCTATACACTTATATTATACAAATACGATCTTCCACTGCCAAGTTTTCTTTTGTCTTTCTCTCTTTCTCGTTTTATATAAACACATATTATACAATTGATCTTTTGTATAATATTACTTAAGGACTTTTAATTAATTAATTAATTGATGATATGAAGATGACGAAAAGTTGATTTAGTAGTTGTTTAATTAATTAAGCATAAGTATTAGTTAATTCCATGAAATTTGGAATGAGGTAGCACAATGTTAGATGTTGTGTTCTCATTTGTTAGTGTTTTATTATATATATATATATATATATATAATGAGGTAGCACAATGTTAGATGTTGTGTTCTCATTTGTTAGTGTTTTATTATATATATATACACACTACTTCAATATATTTATGTTATCATATTTCCTTTTTACACGTCATTCAGATGAATAATTTTAATAATGTTGACAATTAACATAGAGCGAAGGAATAGATAGATGCAAATTTAGTCAAAAGTATATTTTAATAAAATCTTGTTAACTACTACTAGAGTTGATAAAAAACAGAAAATTGAAAGTTTCTCTAAGGCAAAGTTAAGGCAAAAACTTTTTGTATTGAATCTTAATAAAATAAAGAGAATAGAGTTTTGACTATGATTTAAATATATTCAATCTTACTTCAACTTGTCATAATACAAATCTTAATTTCTAATGTGTTTCTAACAAACATTTAGTAAATTTATAACGTACCAATAACTTTTTGTTTCATTATATGTGAAAATATTAAATACAAAATTTAAGATACTAATTTGATTTACGATAGATATAATGTCTTCTCAAAATGAAATAAAACAGTGTAGGAATATTTTTTTCATTATATATGTGTCCAATAATTTTCTATTACTTTTTATTATTGAATAATTGAGAGGGGGTTTTGAGGGTCCCAAAAGGCAACATAATTACATGTTTATTGTGATGTTATTGTTATGCATTGCATTTGGTATTAGGATATTTGGTTGATGAGCTTGAATTATAAGGTGGAGCCCAAGGACCGTTGATGGAAAATAAAGTTTTTCTAGAGGAATTGCGCATATACTTTAATTAAACCAAACTTACGTATATATTTAATGGTTTTTAATAATATTTTCAATCGAAATCCCCAAATTAGCAATGTCTATCCTTTATATTTTCCTAGGCATCACCGGACACTAAAATCACCTTAAATAATTGTATACTTTTAAGTTCGTTCAATTCAAATTAAGGAGATGATCGATATGATTAAGGTGCAAAGCTGAGGGATCATTATCCTCTACAAGTTTTTTTTCTCTTCTATTTTCTAGTATTTTGATGGAGATTTGCAAGATATTGGATCCACTTTTAGTTAATTCTAGATAATTACCAAAATAACTTGTCTTGTCAATAATTTTTTTTCCCCAAAGTTTCCAAAGGGGAATATGCAAAAGTCATTTCACTACCTACACTGACCAACTATATGTATTTAGAGTGTATCTAGTGTGATTTGTATGTATCTAAAGTACATACGAATCTCACTCGTCTCTTTCCTTATTTTTATGTATCTGGTAGCAAAAATACATGTATCTAAGTGTAAGATATGTAGGACACTCTTAATTAGTGGTAAAAATACGTAATATGTTGAAGTATAAATAATAAAAACAATAATAATATATATGATAGTAAAGTATATTGTTAAATTATATAATTTTTCCTTTAATTTATTGTAGTTGTAACCCATAAAGAACAAAAGAATCGTACATGTTCTTCACTCTAGTTTAATGGCATGTGATCCCATATTTGATGTTCTATTTCACCACTAACAATTTTGTAACCTTACTTTATACTCCCTTCGTTTCACAAAGAATGACCTGGTTTGACTTGGCACAGAGTTTAATCAAATAAAGAAGACTTTTGAATCTTGTGGTCCTAAATTAAAGTTATGTCAAATGTACAAAATTGCCCTTAATCTTATGGTCTTAAACATGCCACGTGAAAAGCAAAAAGTAAAATGTTACCAAAAAAGGAAAGAGGTCATTCTTTTTTAAACTGACTAAAAAGGAAAGGAGGTCATTCTTTGTGAAACGGAGGGAGTATTATTTTTATATGAGAAAGTAGAAATTAAAAAAAATAGGAATAAATGACTTGAATTTATAAATACACATGGAGAATACAGAACAACATGTAATCGTCATCTCAATCCGTGTGTACTTGATCCATGTTTATAAATTTACTAGATATAAGACCCCGTGCCAGCACGGGGCCCAATATATATTATTTTTTAATTTTAATTTATGTCATATTATGAAATTTGAGAAATTATTGAAATTTTTATATGATTTTAAAAATATTTTAAATTTTTAGCTATTGTGATTTGTAGTACTTTTTTTTAACATAATTTTGAAAATAATATTTCTTACTCTATTTGTTCTAATTTATGTGGCAGATGCAGAATTTCAAATATTAACCCTTTTTTATATGTCTCTTTAATATATTAAGTTGTTAATTATTGTATTTTATAGTATATTTTGAACCTAATTTTTTAATAATATATGTTATTTGCCATGTCCCCATTTATGTGACATTAATTGATAGATTTGTTGGAGTCGAGAGATTTATTTTATTAATTATTGTAATTTATAAAAAAAATTCGTCAATTTCGTCGACTATTTTTTTTATTAATTATTGTAATTTATTGTTTCTTTTTCGTCAATTTCAAACAATATATGTTTATCATATAATCCATTTTATGTGGTACCAATAGAATTTAGAGAGTCAATTAAATTTTTTATATAAGTTTTAATAATTAAGCTGTTAATTATTGTAATGTATAATATTACTTATATTATTTTTAAATATATTTAAATATTATATGTTAGGTTTTTTATCCTAATTTATATGGCATTGATAGAATTTAAAGTGTCAAATAATTGTTAATTATTGTAATAGATAATAGGGAGTATTTAAGTCATTTATAGTATAGTAATTAATATATAATATGTAGTATTTAAGTGTTATATTATGGAATTTGAGAAGTTATTGAAATTTTTATATGATTTTAAAAATATTTTAAATTGTTAGCTATTGTGATTTGCAGTACTTTTTTTTTTACATAATTTTGAAAATAATATTTATTACTCTATTTGTTCTAATTTATGTGGCACACGCAGAATTTCAAATATTAACCATTTTTTATATGTCTCTTTAATATATTAAGTTGTTAATTATTGTATTTTATAGTACATTTTGAACCTAACTTTTTAATAATATATGTTATTTGCCATGTCCCAATTTATGTGGCATTAATTGATAGATTTGTTGGAGTCGAGAGATTTATTTTGTTAATTATTGTAATTTATAGTTTCTTTTTCGTCAATTTCAAACAATATATGTTGTTAATTGATAAAATACTTTTAATGTAATTTTTTTAAAAAAATATGTGTGACTGTCCATGTCCCAATTTATGTGGCACATGTAAAGTTTTGACAATTAACCAAAATTTTAATACATTTTAAAATTAAATTTAAGTCGTTAAATTTTAAGTAATTTAAATTGTTGTATTATTTATTACAATTTATAATGCTTTTAAAGTAGTTTAAATATTGTAGTATTTATTATGATTTATAACACTTTTTTTTTAATTTATGTCATATTATGAAATTTGAGAAGTTATTGAAATTTTTATATGATTTTAAAAATATTTTAAATTGTTAGCTATTGTGATTTGTAGTACTTTTTTTAACATAATTTTGAAAATAATATTTATTACTCTCTTTGTTCTAATGTATGTGGCAGATGCAGAATTTCAAATATTAACCATTTTTTATATGTCTCTTTAATATATTAAGTTGTTAATTATTGTATTTTGTAGTACATTTTGAACCTAATTTTTTAATAATAT